CTTGGAGAAGCCTCCTATATACTAGGTCTTCGACTCTATAGAGATAGATCGAAGAGGATAATAGGATTATCCCAATCTGCTTACATTGACAAAATAGTCAAGAGATACAACATGGAGAACTTCAAGAAAGGAAATGTTCCTTTCAGGCACGGAGTCACTCTCTCCAAGGGGATGTCTCCCAAGACTCTTGAGGAGATTGAGGGCATGGAGGACGTTCCCTATGCCTCAGTCGTAGGGAGCATCATGTATGCTATGCTATGCACTCGTCTTGACATTGCTCAGGCAGTGAGTGTGGTAAGCAGATTTCAGGCCAACCCAGGGCAGGAGCACTGGACCGCTGTGAAAAATATACTTAAGTACCTTCGAAGGACAAAAAATTTTTGTCTGGTATTTGATGGTAGCTCACTATAAATCTAGGGGTATACTGATGCCGACTTCCAGTCAGATCCAGATGATAGAAAGTCTACATCTAGGTATGTTTTCATGATAGGATCGTGTGTTGTTTGCTGGAAAAGCAACAAACAGGGGTCCACTGCAGATTCCACAACCGAAGCCAAATACATTGCCGCAAGTGAGGCTACCAAAGAAGCTGTATGGATGAAGAAGTTCATTCATGAATTGGGAGTGGTTCCATCTAGCACATCACCCATTCCGTTGTTGTGTGACAACAATGGAACTATCACTCAGGCTAAGGATCCAAGAGCCCACTTGAAGTCAAAGCACATCGAGAGGAAGTACCATGTACTGCGGGAGATAGTTGGAAGAGGGGACGTCCTGATTCAGAAGGTAGCATCAGCGGATAATGTAAGACCATTAAGGGTAATACCTGATGGGCTAATCTTGCATCTGCCCATTGTCTCTGGGTTTTTATAAGGTGGCTTGGCCGAGGGACCACTTAGTGTAAGTGTTGGGCCCATTAAGAGCCCATGGTGATGGGCTCAGGGGTTCACTGCCCATAATAGTGAATTCGGCCAGGCCTTGTAAGGCTAGGCTGAACCCATGTGGCTAATGTATAGATCAATGTTTGGGTCCCGCGCCATACGAGAAAACCCAACTGGGCAGCAGTTTGGAAGGTTAGTGAGTACATAGACTTAATGGGCCTAAAGCCCAATTCAAACTGGTCTAATTTGATTAGTTAAATAAAGGGAGCGGATCTGGGATTTGGATCAGCAGATAGGATAGGGAGTCATCCCTATCCACTCAGAGAGTGTAGATCAAAATAAAGATTTGGATTTGGAAACTCCTAATAAGATTAGGAGGGACTGATCTAATCTACAGATAAGATAATGGTTTATCCTTATCTCTTAAAGAGAAGTCTTGATCCAAATACAGATTTGGATTAGGAAACTCCTAATGAGATTAGAAGCTCTCTTTAAGGCTATAAAAGGAGGAGGAGGGCGAACCTCCATTCATATCATCACAACAGATCTCAGATCACAGAAAGAGAGAAGACATCTACAGTAAGACTGCGCCATCTTATGCTCTTGCGCCCTCCTCCTGTTGCCGCCATTGTCAGTTCGATCTCCACTATAGGAGCGATCAAGAAGAGTTCTTGATATTAGTTTTTGGATAAAAACTGATATGAAATTGTGTTCACATACCCTCCATCGAATTTTTGCTGAAGGATTTGGTTCTTGTGTAGAACCTGCTGATTCTGCTCCACCCTACGTTGTGTCATCTTCAGTGGGAGCAGTCTTTGGAGTTTTCCTTGGGTGTGAACACCTTCATTGGGAGATATTGTTTCTTCGTATCAGGTACCTCCCTCTCTTACCTTTTGGTTTCAGATTTGGTTCGATTCTTGGTTCAAGATTGATCATTGAAAATGCAGATTTTCTAAAACAGGGAATGTGATTCCCAGATAGGAGAGATAGAAATTTTTGAAACTTCACCCTACCTTCCTGCAGGGTTCGGCCATCCATATGATGGATCTCTCATCCCCTTCAAGAATTGCTTTTACATTTTGAAATGCCTGATGATAGAGAATATATTTGATTAAACATTGTATTGCTGTAATTGATCCAAAAATAGGAAAAAACAAATAAAAGCATTGTATTGTTGTAATTTAAATGTTAAATACATGACAAATAAAGGTTTGACAAGAGAAAAACAATCGGATCTTCAACCTTACTTGAATATAAATCTTGGAAACCAATGATCATCAGAATGGTAATAGTTAGGTTTGATGTTTGTTTGCCTACATTTTTTTTATAAATATGTTTATTTGCCTACATTGCCGAACTGTTCCGACAGTCTTGTTCCTATAAAATTACACAAGACATGCACCAAAGAGCCATAGCCCAATTTTGGTCCCTTTATTTGGGGTCTTGGGAGGTGTGGGCTGGATACAGACCTAACCTTCAGCATTTTTCTTCATGAACTGACCACTCTAAGACTCAAACTTAAGTTTTCATCCTTGTTAGCTCAGGATTCCATAAATGTAAATATTATAACCCTGGAATGTTTAACAAGAAGCATGCATCACCAGATTTCTTGAAAGCTTGAGGAGCTCAGAGATCAGCTATACTTTTCTAGAAGGCTTAGCTAGATAAATACAAGCAATTGCTAAATAGAAAGATCTATATAAAAAATACTTTTCTAGAAGGAAAATTGAGGAAACTTACCTTATTGTGATCCAGTCAGGTCTGTAGCGAAAAAACTGGGGAGGAATGAAAAAAATAAAATGTGAGATAGGAGAGGAAGAAGAAAAATAGGAAAGATCAGAGAAAAAAAACGGTGATTTATTGCTGGAGTTTCAGTTCAAAATGGCTATTCCCTCAAATGGGGGATTATTATTCCGCATAGAATGAGAATCGGATTATGACTCCGCCCAACTAAATGCCTGAAAACGAAATGGTCCATTCCGGTTCCGATTCCAAATCTTTATTTTTACGAACCAAATGGACCCTAAGATTTTTTTTTTCTTTTTGTTTGTCCTCTTTTGAGTGCAAACAATCAAGAAGTTTCAATGAAAAGAAAAAAAAAAGAAAAGAAAAGGGGGTATTACAAAAAGCTGATGTATAAGATGTACATAAATACAAAAGAATGAATCCAACACAAGCTATGCAAGCACTTAGAAAATCTCCCAAATCAATAATACAGATTGAGTACACCAATATTTTGGCATTTCGAAATTTTTACTGCACTTTACATCAAAATTTCAACCAACTACATTACAGATGTTACATGATCAACTTACTTTTTTATACTTTGTACATTTTATAAAATGTATTTATTATTACTTACTTTTATAATGTATTACTTTATCACTGATTTATTGACATTTCAATAATGTTGCAACAACTTACATAGAATTCATCATAAATTTTTGGATTCTTTCCCTGTTAACCTGGCAATAGGATCCAGCTTCATTGGAACCCATTTTGAAACATGAGGGAAGGAATGAAGTAGCAGACTGATTTTCTCCATTGCATGCAATAATCTCCAAGGTCCCCTTCATGGGCCTGGACCTCTACCTCTCATTCGCATTATATACCATTTGATGAGTCTCCATCAATCAAAAGAGAGGATGGCAGTTTGGCAGCAGACATTCTAAATCAAGAAAGAACTCTATGACCTGGTCCTGGTATAATAACACAAGCATAGTGGACCACTGTAGGCCCATACCTTCGTGATCATTTATCTTTGCAAGAAATGAGGCCACCAAATTCTCTCATTGAGGTTACCAATTTCAATTTCACAAGAATCTTGTCCACCTACCTACATGATACTATGTATATTAGGAATACCTCCCCATGAATGATAACATGTAAATATTAAAGATGTTCTCAATATACAGCTGTAATGAGGTGTGGATAGATGTGGATTGAGTTCTTATAGACTGTAGGAGATTCGAACTCAATCAATTTACGGAAAATCTCCTCAGCATTCCTAACTTCCTCTTGGACGGAGGCCCAAGATGTGGCCCAAATATATATCTTTCAGACAAGAATCCGTTGATCGTCATTGTTTGTTGAATTAGTAAATTATATTCCCAATTGAGCATTAAAGAAAAAAAGAAAATGGAAGGAATGCCACTTATAAGGTATTGCTTCTTTCAATCAGAACCCAACAAACATTTAATACATTGAAAATTTAATGGGATTGATTCAAGAAGATCGACTTCAGTAAGTGCAAAGCCCGTTCCAACATCATTTGAACATTTTTTATAGCCTTGCATCATGAATATCTTCGTACTTCCATGCTTTATTTTATAAGGAGATATTCCCAATGCAAGACTATGATAGCTGTTCAAACAGACTTTGTTCTAACTGAATCCTGTTTCTGATTCAAGGGGCATAATCATTCATTTGATATATGAGTAACTATTTGGTCTGAATATGACTGGAACTCATTTATTTCAAATAGTCATTTAGGCTACGTTTGGATGCAGTGTAAAACCCGGTTCGATGTATTTTTACATTCTGGTCCAATTTTGTGACTGTTTGGATGGAATGTAAAAATACATCGAAAATCGGTGTAAAAGTGATTTTCAATTTTTTTAGGGTTTCTAACATAGAAGGGCAACTTTTGGGGTTTAATATCAATAAAAGTAATATATTTAAAAAAAATTCAAACATAGGTTAACTTTTTAAAAATAATATCAATAAAGGGAAAAAGCATTATTCATCTTCTTCTTCTTGCCATTTGTTCACCAGAGCCGTCGTCCGCCGCTGCCCGCCACCGCCGCCACCTCTGTCTCCACCCATCTTTGGCAACGTTGTCAGAGGCGGAGGCAGAGGTGGGCGGAGGTAGCGACGTTGGACAGAGAAACCACCAGTGCCGCCATCGCCACCTTTGTCTCCAACCACCTCCAGCAACGTTGTCGGAGGCGGAGGCAGAGGTGGCGGTGGCGGTGGCGGGCAGCGGCTCTGGTGAACAAATGTCAAGAAGAAGAAGATGAAATGTGTTTTTACCCTTTATTGATATTATTTTTAAAAAGTTTATTTTTGAAATTTTTTTAAATATATTACTTTTATTGATATTAAACCCCAAAAGTTGCCCTCATATGCTATTACCCCTTTTTTTACTTCGATTATCAATGCATTTTATACATCGATTTTATCGATGTAAAACTCCATCAAAGTAAGTACGGTGTAAAACTCCATTGGAATTTTTTTACGCAGCGAACGACTCTTCGTCTCCTCTGATCCTCTCTCTCTCACCGTGTGTCGAATACTTCCGATAATCTTTCGCTTACATCCTCATTGCCGTTGAGATTCTGCTGGTCACTCCCTCCCTCCCTCTTGTTCTTTCTCTTCTTTTTTCACCGTCTGCTCTCTTTTTCTCACAGATCGAAGTTGCAGATCAGGATGGCTGCTCGTTTCAGATCTGAAGACAACCCAAAACAGATCAAAGTTGCAGGCGCTTAAGGCCAAGGGGGCACAGAAAAAGGCAACTTAGGCAGATGAGAAGGCTAGACGACTGCTTGAGGTGAGAGAAGGGGAAGGTGCAGGTAGGAAGGCCGATTCACAGGCCTGATTCTATACTTAATTCAGATAAAAGTTTTCTATCTAAGAAGTGAGCACAGGAAAGAAAGGGCCGGAAATGGGTTGTCTCAGATGGATTTCGAGGCAAGTTTCCCATTTGGGTATGTTTTTTGTTTTTGTTTTCTTCTTTTTTGTTTTTAGATATTCACTTTTTTGTGTTAGTTCATGGTGGTTAATACTGAGGGATCGAGTTCTCTGTCTGTTTTCTACTTTGCCAATTCTTGTATTTGAGTAGAGAAAGAATCTCGAAGCTCTTCTATTCTCTTTCTTCTTTTATTTTAATTTGTTAAGCACATGTAGGAACTCGTTCTTCTCCACTTGGAGAAGATTTAAATGCTTATTTATTAATATGTGTTTCCCCTTATTTGAATTGAATTAGCTTACTACCCTGTAAAATGTGTTTTCTTTTTCATATTCCACAAATATATGAATAAGGTTTCCTTTGGATGGAAAATAAATGGCGAAAGTTCGAGATGTGAAAAGTGAGTTTCAGAAGGGTACTGCATTAATGGACAACACTCTCAGAAAGACAAAGTAGTACAAAACTAACTGATTAATATGATGGAAATATAGGATTCTCCACTACACTAGGCATAACATCATCTTTGGCATTACTTGGATTATCTCTATTTAACCTTGGTGGTACAATTTCATTAAGTTGCTTAATTCCTGGACACCCATCATCAAGTACATTGTCATGTTTTTTCCTCCATGAAAATGATAGATGTTATAACATCATTTCTTCATTGATCCATAATCAATTTGCAAATTGTAGCCAAGCAAGGTCAATAAGGGTTTGATATCCTGAGGTTTACACGGAGAATAAGGAGATAAGCCCAATTTTTATCCAAGGATGTGTAAGTTGCATTAGGTTCTGATGTAGGGTGATTTGGCCCGACCTCGTAGCGCGGGGACACGTGGACATGACCTGGCATAAGCGGAAAGTCAGCACGACAGCCTGACCACAACTCGACATAACAACCTCATCGAAGCCCGATCGAACGACTCGGCAAGTGTGGCAACTCGCCGGGAAGCAAGGCCCAGCTCACCCCGAGCCCTAAGGGTGGAGCGCCCCGAGCTCCCTCCGTGCAAAGGGACCCGAGCTCCCCTTGAGTCCCGAGCTCCTCCTAAGGGGTTTCGAGCTCTCCCTCCCTAAGAAGGGAGCACCCCGACTTTTGGATAAATGTCCCGAGGGAGAAACACCTCGGGACAGCACCGTCGACACTCCTGTTCATACTTGCTTAAGGCTCACCCCTAGTGTGAGCACCTTGGCGTACCTCGGCAGCTCGGTGCAAGGTAACTCAGCCTAGGCGGTTTGGTGCAAAGTAGCTCAACAACTTACAGGGAAGATCTGCCTGACATCCGTACCTGCCGGATCTGGTGGTAGCGCCCACGTCTCTCGCCAGGCGGCGTCGTGCTTGCCATCTCTGAAAAGCATGGCACGCCTGACGAGTCTGTACCCTGCAGCAGCAGCAGCAGCCGGCACCCGCCACCTCAGCCCTGGCAGTAACGGCTAGGGCAGTGGCGGTTACACCTGATGTGACTGAGCTCTGGTATAAGAAGACCCTGACCCTCGCGAAGCAAAGGTATTGAAGCTAGCACTTTCAGCACTCTTAATTCATTTTGTGTTTTCCTTGAGTTTTCTCAGAGTTCTAATTTAGCCATCGGAGTGTTCCCGCCGGGAGAGCTCCCCGGGAATCCTTCACGTTCCTCTCCATCTCAGGTGCCGTCTGTCACAGTTAGGAGCCAGGTTTCAGCCAGCTAGGAGTGCCTAGATCGTTCTGCATCATTTGGCGTCGTCTGTGGGAATCACTTCAAAAGGCCTTCCTCTAAATTCTGTGCAACTTTCCCCAAAGAACTCATCAGCATCACCGACACCCATTGCTTCCTCCAGCAACGCCGAATGCCGAAACATCCCTGAGGAACAACCCCAGTTTCCCACTGTTTGCATTGGACAGTTTACCGTCCCCCTCTTCGCGGACAGAGTCCCCAGTCTTAACGTGCCCCAGACAGTGGCACCCGTGACTGTTCCACTCCCCTCTACAGTCGGAACAACCTTCACTGAAAGCACCATCCCTCCTCCGGTGGCCAGCCAAGGTCAGCTTGAGGATCTGATGTAGTGCATGCGGGCCATGCAGGCTCAGATGCAACAGTTCCAGCAACTCCAGTTTCACCAGCAGCAAGTGCTGCACCAGGTTTCCCAATACCAGTATCAGCAACAGTTTCCTTCACTCCCTCCTCGGCATCCAGCTGCACAGCCAACCAAGCCTCACCGCCGAAGCGAACTTCATTCCCATTGAGGAGAGACCTCAGTATCATATCATGGAAGAAAGGAGAGACCGCCTACCCCCGCCTCGCGGCCTGCAGTTAGGTCGGGGGCTTCCCCCTGTCACCAGAGCTCCTTGTTGTCCCCATGCCAAGGGACTTCTAACTCCCCCCCGCTGGACAAGTACGATGGATCCTTCGATCCCAATGATCACTTGGACGCCTTTCAGTCCCAGATGCACCTGGCGAGAGATAGTGAAGCTTGCTTGTGCGTGGCATTCTCCACCACTTTCAAAGGAGTAGCCCGCACCTGGTACCGAAACCTCGCGTCAGGTTCAATAAGGAGATGGGCACAGTTCGTGCAAGTCTTTACCTCCCACTTTGTCACCAGTAAAAGATGCCCGAGAACCCAAGAGAGCCTCCTCAACATAGTTCAGAGGGAAGGAGAGTCCATCCGAAGCTACATCAAGCGGTTCAATGACGCTTGCTTACAGATACCCGACCTGGACCCCACAGTTCGGCTCACTGCGGCCAAGCGGGGCATCACCCATAAGGAGTTCAAGTGGCACGTAGTTGTCAATCAACCCAAGACCGTGACCGAGTTCCTCAAACTCGCGGATCGGTTCATAGGGATAGAGGAGGAAATCAGCCAGAAGAGCGAGCAGGCCCTTGAAAAAAGAAAGAGGGAACCAGAGCCCCCAGCTCCAAGCGACAACAAGAAGAAGAAGGACCAAGCAGAACAGCCGCAGAGGCAACCCCCTGATGAGAGACCAGTCCGTGGGACTATCCTTGTAATTGTCGGAGGATCAATTGTCATGGGCTGCACTTTAGCCGTAGCTCGATCATCAGCTCGCGAGGCCGCCAGGGAAGAACAGAATCCCCTGAAGCGGCCAAACATGGAGGAACCAATCTTCTTCATAGAAGACGACGCGCGAGGGGTCCACTATCCCCATGATGACGCGCTCGTCATAAAGATAAAGATCAATGACTTCGAGGTCAGGCGTGTCCTCGTCGACTCGGGCAGCTCGGCGGATATTCTCTTCAAAGCGGCCTTCGATCAACTTCAACTCTAGGAAGGCGACCTGAAGCTCGCAAACACTCCACTAGTGGGATTTAGCAGAGAGGAGGTCAGGCCTTTAGGGAGAGTCACTGTACCTGTGGAGGTCGGCACCTAGCCTAGCGTGGTAAGGCTCAACCATGAGTTCCTAGTGGTCGCGACTCCCTCCCCGTACAACACAATAGTCGGTCGACCCATCACCCATGCCTTACGAGCAGTGGTCTCCACCTACTACCTGGCGATGAAGTTCCCTACAGACTTCGAAGTTGGGGTGACGCGAGGCGATTAGCTCGAGTCCCGCAAGTGCTACGTAGCCGCCCTCAAAGGAAAAGCCAAGGTAGCAGACGACCTTGAGGTAGAGCGACCCGCGGAACAGTTCGCAGAGTGACCCGCGCCCACCGAAGAGACCGTCCCCATCCCAGCTTCGACCGAGGACCCAGCTCGGGTACTTCAGATCGGCGCTTCTGTTGAGGAGCCTCTGCGGTCTCAATTGGTAAGTTTCTTACTAAAAAATTTAGATATTTTTGCATGTTCCGCGGCAGAAATGCCCGGCATAGACCCCAGCATTATAACTCATAAGCTCAATATTGATCCTTTAGTTTGGCCCGTTAGACAAAAGAAACGCAACCTAACCCCAGAGCGATGGAGGGCAGGCGACGAGGAGGTTGGTAAGCTCCTTACAGCCGATTTTATCAAGGAAGTCCATTACCCGAGCTGGGTGGCCAACCCCGTTCTGGTGAAAAAGGCTAACGGTAAATGGCGCATGTGCATCGACTACACCAACTTGAACCGAGCTTGCCCAAAGGACTGCTTCCCACTTCCCAGGATCGACCGTCTAGTGGACGCGACCTCGGGGCATGAGTTACTGAGCTTCCTGGACACCTATTCGGACTACAATCAGATCAGGATGATCCCAGCTGACGAAGAGAAAACTGCCTTCATAACCGAGCTTGGCCTGTACTGTTACAAGGTCATACCCTTCGGGTTGAAAAACGCTGGGGCCACTTTTCAAAGACTTGTAAATAAACTGTTTGAGCCATTAATTGGCAGAAAAGTAGAGTGTTCTGTAGACGACATGGTCGTCAAAACCCAATTTTCACATGATTTAATACAAGATTTACATTCAGTTTTTGAAATTCTGCGTAGATTTAATATGAAGCTAAACCCGAATAAGTGTGTCTTTGGTGTCACCTCGAGTAAATTCCTGGGATACATCGTAAACCGGCACAGCATTGAAGCCAACCTGGACAAAGTAAAGGCCATCCTAGATATGAGACCACCCCGAAAAGTGAAGGAGGTTCAGAGGCTGAATGGCTGAATGGCCGAATAGCCGCTCTGAGCCGCTTCATGTCTTAGTCGGCAGATCGCTGCCTACCCTTCCTTAAAGCAATTAAAAGCAAAGGGTTTGAATGGACCCAAGATTGTCAGCTCGCGTTTGACGAGCTCAAAAAGTACCTTGCCAGCATACCGGTCTTAACCCGACCCGAAGAGGGCGCTGTTTTGAAGTTGTACCTCTTGGCAAGTGACGAAGTTGTCAGCTCGGTACTAATAAAAGAAGTAGATCGGGTCCAATGACCTATCTACTATGTTAGTAAAGTGTTGTAGGGAGCAGAGACAAGATATCCGGAGATAGAAAAATTGGCCTATGCACTGGTTATTGCAGCCCGAAAGCTCTGTCCGTACTTTCAAGCTCATACTGTTATCATCCTCACCAACAAACCTCTGAGGCAAGTCCTACTCAAGCCCGAGGTCTCTGGTCGACTGACGAAGTGGGCCGTTGAACTCAGCGAGTACGATCTCCAATACAAGCCACGAACTGCAATTAAGGCCCAAGCCTTAGCAAACTTCGTCGCGGAGTGCACTTTCAGCTCCGAAGTCCCCAGGCCGGTTGAGCATGAGGCCCCCAGTTCAGGCGAGCCCGGAGCTTCCAGGCCAGTCGAGTCCGAGCACCATGAGATATAGCAGTCAGCGTAGCATCTCTCCTACTTAGGCCAAGCGCGGACTTGGATGAGGAGCCCTGGATCCTTCATGTAGATGGCTC